CCTTTAAAATAATCACATTTTGTTGCTTTGCAGCCTGAAATGAAGACAGACATGGTTTTTGTTTTATCAAGCTGTATTTACTGTTATAAAAAAATTATGTCCGAAAAAAAAATTTAAAAAAGGAAAAAGGATCACCCCCCTCCTAAAAATGACTTGTAAACTCAATCAGGTGTAGCTAATCACCTTCTCAATGGCACACATTTGACTTTCAACTGTGATCAGCTGTGGTCATTTTGATTAGCTCAGCATGAGAAGAGCTTTCCTGGAGCGTTTCAGTCTTTGGTAGTGCAACTGAAGCAAACAATCAACTATGGGTGATAAGGCACTGTCAAAAGATATCCGGGATAAAGTTGTGGACAGGCACAAGTCAGGAGATGGATACAAAAACATTTCAAAGGCTTTATTAATGCCTAGAAGCACAGTGAAGTCTATTATTAAGAAGTGGAAGGTATTTGGTACATCACAGAGCCTCCCTGGATCAGGATGTCACTCCAAACTGGATGATGAAAGAGCCAAGAGGACACCGTTCAGAGAGGCGACCAAGAGTCCTACAGCAACTCTGAAGCAGTTGCAGGAATTTATGACAAAGAGTGGTCATTGTGTGCATGTGACAACAATATCACAAATTCTCCACAAATGTGGCTTGTGTGGGAGAGTTGCAAGCAAAAAGCCACTCCTCAAGAAAGGCCACATGCAGTTACGACTGAGCTTTGCCAAAACACACCTTGAAGATTCTGAGGCCACATGGAAAAAAGTGTTACGGTCAGATGAGACTAAAATTGAATTATTTGGCCTCAACACTAAACGATATGTCTGGCGGAAATCCAGTACAGCTCACCATCCAAATAATACCATTCCTCCAGTAAAGCATGGAGCTGGTAAGATCCTGTTATGGGGATGTTTCTCTGCAGCAGGGACTGGAGCACTTGTCAGGATAGAAGGAGAAATGGATGGGGCAAAATACCCTCAAATTCCTGAGGAAAATCTGCTGCCCTCTGCCAAAA